GCATCAATCAGAACTTAATACGAATTTATCTGCCATAACGATATAAATTTTTTTGCTATGTATCAATCAGGTCGTAGACCGAACTTTTTGCGATGCTTTGTCACAATTCATCTTAAGGGGGAAAATCAAGTACGTTAAATCTTTATCAATTACAGCTCAAAACAAACTTTTCTAATATTTTGAATCAATCATGGTTCAAACCTATAATTAAAAAAACCCAATGACATGAAATATGTATCAATCAGGGCTTAATAGGAATCTACGAGCCCTAAGGATATTAATTTTATTAAAAAGAACCTGCGTACTTTAATCGACCAGGGTTCATTTTAAAAGGAAAATCCGCTAAAAGCATTCAGTTTTGACTACTACGTGTCAATCAGGCTGCCGAATTTAGACTTTAGATCAATCAGGCGTCTTTTACAGAACAAAAAGGCCTAATGACAATTAATTTAGCAATTTTCTTTTTGAAAAATCAATCAGGTTCCACAAAGTGCAACAAAACGTACTAAATGACACTAGATTTGTTTCATTTTTAATTATCAATCAGGTCATAAATCGAATATATGAGCCCAGGCGACAATTCATTTTGTGATTTTTTTTATCAATCTTCTTTTTATTTTAAGAACAAAGCTTCGTTTTTTTTAAATCAGGCCATAAAGAATCAGGATCCAATTTGTACCGATTACAAGACGAGAGAAGATTTTTTTGGACCAGTTTTGACATGTAGTCATGTCCCATTTTATCAATTTTTTTCGTATGCAAATTTTGCGACAAGGGTAATTTGTCGCGAGGGTGAGTGTAAAAAAAGTCAAGATGATCACCGCCCCGGGAGCCTAGAAAACAGAATGTCGTGTTTGTTACGTTAACCGGCTGTTTATTTATACATTTGAGTGGTCTATTTTATAAACCTGTCCTCGCTAAGCCGCATTGAAATATATCCCCCTGATGGGTGTTGAAAGGGGTGGGAGAGGGGGTGGCACATCCTTAAATCTACCTTAATCCGGCACGGATTTATTTTATATTTATCGGATGAAATTTCCGAGGGAACAGAGATAGAGAGTGTGAAAGAGACTAAGACAAATTCCAGAATAGGATCATGGGTTGATAACCTGATCGATTTAAATTTTTGAAAAAACCATCAATCACCCGATAAACGATTGACGCATCAATCAGAGTTAACCATTTTATCTGTTCAGGGGAGAAAAACAACGTTTATAATGGTGGTCATTATGTTTTTATTTCTAATTTTAAAAAAATTCTGATCGATACAAAACTATTTAAAAAAAAAAAAAACCTTTATGGTGTTCGATACAAACAAAATCAAATTGATATGATTAGACAGAAATGGATGTTCATTCTCAATTTTATGATTTAGGACCTGATTGATAAAAGTAGTAAAACATTTCTGTCGTTAAGATGTTTTTTTGTTCATCTTAGGACTTTTCCCTGAGAATAAAGCCTGAGTAATACAAACATGGCATTTCTGAGATTATATTTTTTGTGCTGATCTTAATCCCTAATCTCAGCTGTTTTTAACTGAGTATAAAGTCTGACTGAAACGAACAATCCTGTAATAAAATAATTAGAATCTACCCTGGGAAAAAGCCTGATTAATAGAAATGATAAATGATGGAGTGAGTGTGGTGTTCAATCCTTTTTAAAAAGATAGTTCCTACTCACAGTAAGTTGTTTTGATCCGGATTTCGAGCCTTTTAGCTCATCATCAGGTTGAAGGACTTCTACAACCACGTCTCTCGACATGAATTGCCAAAGTGAACCCGCTGATACCTCCGCCAACGCGACGTTCCAATTAGCAGCTGATTTGTTTAATTTGGATGTTTGTTATTATTTATGTACATATTTAAAATGGGAGGTAGATCAAAATCTGTTATATTATTAATGCAATAATAATCGGAATAAAACCTGATTGATACAAACTATGAGAAAAAATTAGGAATTTTATTTGCTAGTAATGAAGTCTGTTTAAGATCAAATAATACAAAAATTACTGTCAATACTATCTTTTTCTTACGAGGGTTCACAACAGCAGAGGTTATATCAACCTTCGGGTTGCCGGTGTTTTTGGACAAAAAAAACATTTTTAAGTATGTCGGATTCGAATGCAGGGCCGCTGGATTCGAACCCGGGACCTTTACCTTACAGTGATGAGCGCCGTGCAACGCCTAACCGTTGCGCCAACGACGCCCCTAAAATAGGACTATTCTTAATAAAACCAGATTGTTATAAAATAAAACAAAAATTACTGAAATTATGTCTTTTCTAAATAAAACCCGATAAAAAAAATATATGTATATAACAAATTGCTGTCGATTGGACTTTTTTTTAAATAAAGCCTGATTGAAATAAAACAGTATAACAATTACTGTCAATAGGACATTTTTAAAAATAATAGTTGATTGATATAAAATAGTGCAAAAATTACGGTCTATAGTTCTTTTTTTAAATAAAGCATTATTGATATCACAAATTGATTACAATAGGACTTTTTTAATTAACGATGACTGATATCAAATAGTAAAAGAAAAAGTTACTGGCAATAAAGTTTTTTTTAAATAAAACCTAATTGATATAAAATAGTATAAAAATTACTGTCCATAGGACTTTTTTTTAAATAAAAGCTAAATAAAAAAAAAAAGTTAAAAAGCTAAATAATAAAAAAAAGTTACTCTCAATAAAACTTTTTATATTCATTATAAAAATTACTGCTAATAGAATTTTTTTAAATTAAAGCATGATTGATGTCAATTAGTATAAAAATTACTGTCTACAGGTTTCTTTTAAAATGAAGCCTGACTGATAAAATGTAGTATAAAAATTACTGTCGATAGGACTTTTTTTAATAATAGCTGATTGATATCAAGTAGTGCAAAAATTACTGACAATAGGACTTATTTTAATTAGAGATGACATATCAAATAGTAAAAGAAGTTACTGTCAATAAAACTTTTTTAAAAATAAAACCTGTCTGATATAAAATAGGATAAAAATTACTGCCAATAGGATTTTTTTAAAATAAAGCCTGATTGATATCAATTAGTACAAAAATTACTGTATATAGGTTTCTTTTAAAATGAAGCCTGATTGATGTTAAATGGTATAAAAATTACTGTCAATAGGCGTTTTTTAAAAATAGCTTATTGATATAAAATAGTGCAAAAATTACTGTCTACAGTTCTTTTTTTAAATAAAGCATTATTGATATCAAATAGTAAAAAATTACTGTCGATAGGATTTGTTTTATATATTTTGGAATAGTCTGATTGATATAAATAAGATAAAATTAATCTCTTTAGTCCTGCCTTGCTGAAAAGAAGTTACTGTCAATAAAACATTTTTTAAAATAAAACCTGTCTGATATAAAATAATATAAAAATTACTGCTAATAGGATTTTTTTAAAATAAAGCCTGATTGATATCAAATAGTATAAAAATTATTGTCAATAGGACTTTTTTTAATAATAGCTGATTGACATAAAATAGTGCAAAAATTACTGTCAATAGTATTTGTTTTATAATTTTTGGAATAGTCTGATTGATATAAAATAGTATAAAAATTACTGTCAGTAGGATTTGTTTTATATTTTTTGGAATAGTCTGATTGATATAAATAAGATAAAATTAATCTCCTTAGTCCTGCCTTGCTGAAAAGAAAGCCTAATTGATAGAAATACATAATAAAATATAGCATCACTAGGGCTCGTTTTTCGATTTAAACCCTGATATAGAATATTCCAAAATTACTAATATTGGAACACGGTTCGCTGGATTAATAAAAAGCTTGATGGATAGAACTAAATTCATCAGGTCTTTTTTTTTTGGAATAAAGCCAGATTGATACAAAATAGTAGAAAATTGTACTCATCAGCTCTTTTTTTCTAGGAATAAAGCCTGATTGATAAAAAATAGTACAAAATTATAGTCATCAGTTTTTTCTAGTAATAAAGCCTCAGTGATACAAAATAGTACAAAATTATATTCATCAGGTTTTTTTTCTAGGAATAAAGCCTGATTGATACAAAATAGTACAAAATTATACTCATCAAGTCTTTTTTTTCTAGGAATAAAGCCGGATTGATACAAAGTAGTACAAAATTATATTCATCAGGTTTTTTTTCTAGGAATAAAGCCTGATTGATAAAAAATAGTACAAAATTATACTAATCAGGTCTTTTTTTCTAGGAATAGAGCCAGATTGATACAAAGTAGTACAAAATTATATTCATCAGGTTTTTTTTCTAGGAATAAAGCCAGATTGATACAAAGTAGTACAAAATTATACTCATCAGGTCTTTTTTCTTCTAGGAATAAAGCCTGATTGATACAAAATAGTAGAAAATTATAGACATCAGGTTTTTTTCTAGGAATACAGCCTGATTGATAAAAAAATAGTAGAAAATTATAGTCATCAGGTCTTTTTTTCTAGGAATAAAGCCAGATTGATACAAAATAGTACAAAATTATATCATCAGGTTTTTTTCCTAAGAATAAAGTCTGATTGATACAAAATAGTACAAAATTATAGTCATCAGGACTTTTTTTCTAGGAATAAAGACAGATTGATACAAAAGAACCCAATAATCGTTAAGATTGTTTAATCCTGAGAATACAGCCCGATTGATACACATTTCTCTAGGAGGTGGACAAGGAAAATTCGGAAACAAATAGCCGTCAACGGTCGGTTTTCCTTCCCATTGGCCTGATTGTTACAAAACGTTAACTTTTGCTGGATGGACATCAACGACGCACTGTGCACCTTGAAACCCGTCCTATTTCCACCTGTTGGAAAAATTGAAACGGGATATTTTTCGAGCTTTTTTTTAATTTTTAGATCCGAGTTGGAAGAAGAAAACATTGATAGTTGGCACTAATTTATAAATAGACATTGACTAACCACTATTCTCGACTTCGTTATGACCCGTTTCGTACTTCCTCGGGAGGCGGTAATCTTTTTTTTAAATCTAATATGATTTTTTTTACAGGATCTTAACACGGATGGGACAGGGTTGAAAATAAAACAGGAGAACTACATACAGTCTTCTGAAGACCAGATCGGTGAGTGGAATTTTTTTTCGTAATTTATGGAGAATTTTGCCACTTTTGGGTTCAAAAATCGGTCTGAAGAAGGAAAAACTGGAAAACCGTCTCGTCGCGGATAATTTCCTTTTTTGTTTCTCATTTTAAATTGGGTCGCCGACCCGTTTTGGAGAGTCAGCGTTTTCACAACTCTTCCGCAAAAAAGCAGTAGAACAAGAAAAGATGGTTGTGAAACAAATTGTGCAACTCGAAAAAGGAAAAGAGAGAAAATTTCATTTCAAATTCGCCCCTCTGGGCCAATGGGCCGTCCAAGGATCTTTTGGGCTCCCTGTCAGCGGGTTTTTTCCCCAAGGATTTGTAAATAAACCAGCCTGTAAACAAGAAGAAAAGAGGAAAATAAAAAAAGAGAGAGAAATAAAAGATTTGGAAAAGAGGACGTAAAGACAATTACAACCAAATTAATTGGCAAAATTGTAAATTTTAGTTTTTTTCTGATTTTCTTAGCCTTTTTTTGTATGTTCTGAGACTAAACTCTGTCAAATTGGAAGGCACTTTTAAACCGAAAAGCCTGAAAAACAAATTGTATTAAAGGATGTGACAGCTTTTAGAAGTTTTCCTGCTTATATTGTGTGTTTTTTGACTTTCGAGCCTAAACGTTTTCGTTTAGTTCAATTGGAAGGCGGTTTTTTGCCACAGAAGGCTGAAAATGTTAATTATATTCACGAAAAATGTTTTTTTTAGCGATTTTTCCTGGTTTAGTTGGCATTTTTTTTAAATTTTCTATTTTGTTCTGAAGCTGATTTTCTAATTGTCTAACGGGAAGACGATTTTTTGCCTGAAAAAGCTAATTGTATTTAGGGATGTGATCGCTTTTAGAAGTTTTTCTGCTTATATTGTGTGTTTTTTGACTTTCGAGCCTAAACGTTTTCATTTAGTTCAACTGGAAGGCGGTTTTTTGCCAAAGAAGGCTGAAAAAAGTAATTATATTAACGATAAATAGGTTTTTTAAGCGATTTTTTTCTGCTTTAGTTGGCTTTTTTTATTTTATATTTTGTTCTGAAACTAAACATTTTCAAATTGTCCAACGGGAAGACGATGTTTTGCCTGAAAAAGCTAATTGTATTAAGGGATGTGACAGCTTTTAGAAGTTTTTCTACTTATATTGTGTGTTTTTTAACTTTCGAGCCTAAACGTTTTCATTTAGTTCAATTGGAAGGCGGTTTTTTGTCACAGAAGGCTGAAAAAATGAATTATATTCACGATAAATTTTTTTTAGCGATTTTTCCAGGTTTAGATGGCAATTTCTTTTATTAATTTTTTTATTTTGCTCTGAAGCTAAACTCTTTCAAATTATTCGACTGGAAGGCGATTTTTGCCTGAAAAAGCGAATTGTATTAAAGGACCTGACAGATTTTTAGGCGTTTTTTTGCTTGCCTTGTGCATTTTTTAGACTTTTGAGCATAAACTTTTTCATTTTGCCCAATTGAAAAACTTTTTTTTTCTAAAGAAGGCCTGAAAAAACTATTTTTATTATCTATGGCTTTTTTTAGGGATTTTCCAGGTTTGGTTGGCTTTTTTCGGAATATTTTTTTTCTCTTCTTGTCTTGTATTTTTTTCGGGCCTTAACATTTTTGGTTTGTTTTACTGGAAGGCGGATTTTTGCCTAAGATGCTTGAGAAAGTTATTTAAATAAAGGAGGGGGCGAGGCTTCAGGAGTTTTAGTCTTGTATGGTAGTTTTTCTGACTTCTCTATTTTTAATGTTTTTCTGTATAAATAATTTTTTTAGCGATTTTTCCTGGTTTAGTTGGCAATTTCTTTTTAAAATTTTTTATTTTTTTCTGAAGCCAAACTCTTTCAAATTATTCGACTGGAAGGCGATTTTTTGCCTGAAAAAGCGAATTGTATTAAAGGACCTGACAGATTTTTAGGCGTTTTTCTGCTTGCCTTGTGCATTTCTTTGACTTTTGAGCATAAACATTTTCATTTTGTCCAATTTAAATTTTTTTTCTAAAGAAGGCCTGAAAAAACTATTTTTATTATCGATCAATGGGCTTTTTTAGAGATTTTCCAGGTTTGGTTGGCTTTTTTCTGAATTTTTTGTTTCTCTTCTTGTCTTGTATTTTTTCGGACCTAGACTTTTTTAGTTTGTTTTATTGGAAGGCGGATTTTTGCCAATGATGTTTAAAAACTTATTTAAATAAATTAAGGGGGCGAGGATCCAGGAGTTTTCGTCTTGTACGGTAGTTTTTCTGGCTTCTCCATTTTTAATTTTTTTTGTATCTGGAAGGCGGTTATTTTGGCAAAGAAGACTTGGAAAACCTTATTACTTTGAGGAATATGAGTTTCGAACATAGACTTCTTCAGTTTGTTTGTTAGCTGGAATTTTGCTTAAGAAGGCTTGAAGGCTTTCTTTAAAGATAAGTAATTTTTTTCTGGTTTTTGGACATTTTTTATTTATCCTTAGCCTAGACACTTTCAATTTGTCCAACTGGAAAGAAATTTTTGCCTAAAAGCGTGATAAAGCTAATTACATTAAGGAATGTAACAGCTTTTTCGGCGCTTTTCTGCTTGTCTTGTTTTGATGTTAGACAGGTTTTTTAGAGAGTTTTCCTGGTTTGTTGGCCTTTTTTGTTTGTTCTGAAGCTAAACTCTTTCAAATTATCCAACTGGAAGTCGATTTTTAGCCTGAAAAAGCTAATTGTATTAAAGGATGTGATATATTTTTAGGCGTTTTTCGGCTTGTCTTGTGTTTTTTCTTTTGGCCTAGACTTCTTCAGTTTGTTTAGCTGGAATGAAATTTTTTTGCTTAAAGGAAAGCTTAAAAAATAATCACATTAAAGATAAATAGTTTTTTTTTTTTTTTTTTAATTGTTGTCTGCTGTTGTTGGCCTTCTTTACTCTACTTTTTGAACTCATGACCCGGGACGATGTAGAATTTTCCTCAAAACCCACCCCCTTTCTCCTTTTGGCTTGTTTTTGCCTCGCGGCTTGAAACTCTACCGCGTCCATTAGGGGTGTTTTCGCGAAATTCGACTCGGCTGGGGGTGAATTGTTAAAGGGGCAAGCGAGGCCGTGCCCGAATTTGAAACGCGAACACAGAACCGCCCCCGGGGGCGGCGGCTCCTCCTCCCCCGGGGGGGTCAAACTGCTAATTAGCCCTCGACCGTAATCCACCCCTTCGGGTAGAAGGCTCAAACCGCCCTTTTAGACCTGTTGAATTTTAGACTAGAAATTCGAAATCAACCCGGTTAATTAACTCAAACCATTAACGCCAAACCCCGAAAAATGTGCCTTGCAGGTTCTCTGTTTTTTTATAGTAAGAAGTTTTAAAAAAAGCCTTTAAAAATTTGCCTTTCCTTAGGACAAATTGAAAGAGTCCAGGCACAGAACAAATAAAAAAAGGCAAAACAAAACCAGAAAAAATTTAAAAAAACTATTTATCTTTAATGCAGTTAATAATAATTATTTTTTCAGGCCTACTTTGGCAAAAAAATCGTCTTCCAGTTAAACAAACTAAAAAAGTCTAGTCAAGAAAAAAAGCACAAGTCAAACAGAAGAACGCCTAAAAACGCTATCTCGTCCCTTAATACAATTAGCTTTTTCACGCAAAAACTGCTTTTCCTGGGCAAATTAGGAGAGTCGGCTAAAAATAATTAAAAAATCAGAAAAACCTTTTAAAAAATTACTTTTTTAAAATTTACTTAGTTTTTTCAAGCATTCTTTGACAAAAAAAAATCTAGGCACGAAAAAAACAACATACAAGACAAGAATAGAAACGCCTAAAAAGCTGACATATTCCTTACTATAATTAGTTTTTCCAGGATTCTCAGACAATAATTCGCCTTCCAGTTGGACAATTTGATACAGTTTAGCTTCAGAACAAACAAAACCAGGAAAAATCCCTAAAAAAATGGAACTATTTATCGTTAATACCTAATACCTATTTTTCAAGCCTTATTTGGCTAAAAACGCGCCTTCCAGTTAGCTAAATGAAAAAGTTTAGGCTCGCAAGTCAAAAAAACACACGAGACAAGCAGAAAAACGCCTAAAAAAGCTGTCACGTCCCTTAATACAATTAGCTTTTTCTGGCAAAAAATCGTCTTCCTGGTGGACAGTTTGAAATAGTTTACCTCAGAACATAGAAAAAGGCAAACCAAACAAAAACAAAAAAAATCCCAGAAAAGCCCATTTGCCGTTAATATAATTAATTTTTTCAGGCCTTCTTTGGCGAAAAATCTGTTTTCCAGTTGGACAAAATGAAAAAGTAAAGAGAAAAAAAAAACAGAAGAACGCCTAAAAAGCTGACATATTCCTTACTACAATTAGTTTTCCAGGATTCTCAGGCAATGATTCGCCTTCCAGTTTGACAATTAGCCAACCAAACCAAAAATCCCAGAAAAGCCTATTTCCCGTTAATATAATTAATTTTTTTCAGGCCTTCTTCGGCGAAAAACTGTTTTCCACTTGAACAAAATGAAAAAGTAAAGAAAGAAAAAAGCAGAAGAACGCCTAAAAAGCTGTCACATACCTTAATACAATTGGCTTTTTCAGATTTACAGGCAAAAATTGGCCTTCCCATTGATCATACTGAAAAATTCTAGGCACGAAAAACATATAAACAAACAAGACAAACACAGAAACGTCAAAAAGCTGTCCCATTTCTTAACATAATTAGCTTTGAGAGCTTCTTTTATTTAATTAGGTTTTTGAAGGTTATTATAATTATTATTATACAGTTAGCTTTTTCGGGCTTTTCACGCAAAAACTTTTTTCTTTCTGATCTGGTTCATTTTCCAACATTTCTTTTAGTACTGATCTTTTTTCTGAAATTTGTTTTAACCATCACCGGAACGATTTGGACTTAAATTTGGCCGAAGGAATGTCAAACGGCAGAAATTTTTTTACACTTTTACAGCTCGGCATGACATCATGCTGACTTGTCAGCGCTGATCGCCGAAAACGACCCGATCAGCGTTTCCTCCCCGCGTTTTTTTGATGCAAGAGCCTCGGATGGCCCGTTTCCCTTTTTCCTTCCATCGGGTTAATTGCCAAGTCTTGTTCGAGAGCTGAAATATTGCCGGCAAGTGGGGCGACGACGGTGAAAGATGGTGAAGTCCGACGACAGCTGAGCCCCCTTCGCCGTCCTTCGGCGTCCTCCTCCAAGCCGAAGTCCCAAAAGGGATTTGTTCTGTTTACGTAAAAGGGATCAGGCCGTGTCAACTGTGGGAAACGATCGGACAAAGTCAAAAAGGCGCGGAGAAAAACCAGCTTAAACAGAAATATCTGATTATTACGACCTTGAAATCAAGGAGTTAAGTTGGTCTTTGCAGTTACTTTTTCACCTTCGCACCTTCAAGGATAAAGGAAATCCCCCCCCCAAAAAAAAACAATGATTACTTTATTATAGGATTTGTACGAGAAAACTACATTAAACTCAAACAAAGTCGATCTTAGTTCGTTCCCACATGAAAATCTTATTATTATAACATTGAAATCAGGGGTTAAGCTGATCATTGCAATTATTTTTCTCCTACGACCCGTCGGCAATAAATTAAGGCAAAAAATATTAATTTATTGCAGGATTTGTACGAGAAAACAGCATTACATTCAAACAACCTCGATCCTTAGACTGCTCTCTGATGAAAATATTATTATTATTATAACTTTGAAACCAGGGGTTAAGCTGGTCTTTGCAATTATTTTTCACCTTCACACCTTCAGCAATAAACTAAGCCTAAAAAATGATTAATTTATTATGGAATTAGTAGGAAAAAAGGGCTTTACAATCCAACTCGATCATACACTATTCTCATGATAATTGACCTTGAAATCAGGAGGTTTAAGCTGGTCTTTGCGATTATTGTTCACCTACCAACTTCTAGCAATAAATAAACTAAAAGAACAATTAATTTATTACGGCATTAATATGAGAAAAGTACATTATAATTAAATAAACTCGGCCTTAAACTGTTTTCCTTAAATTTTTTATTATTATGACCTTGAAATCAAGGGGTTAAGCTGGTCTTTGCGATTATTTTTCACCTTCGAACCTTCAGCAATAAATTAAACTAAAAGAACAATTAATTTATTATGGGCTTAATGAGAGAAAAAGGGCATTACAATCAAACAAACTCGTTCACAGACTGTTCTCAATTGAAAATCTTATTACTATGACCTTGAAATCAGGGTGTTATGCTGGTCTTTGCGATTATTTTTCACTTTCGAATATTCCATGATAAATTAAGCATAAAACACGATTAATTTATTATGGAATTTGTATCAGCAAACAGCATGACATTTAAACAAACTCGATCCTTAGACTACTCTCTGATGAAAATATTATTGTTATAACCTTGAAATCAGGAGTTAAGCTGGTCTCTGCAATTATTTTTCACCTTCTAACCTTCAGCAATAAATAAAACTGAAAGAATAATTTATTTATTACGGTATTAATATGAGAAAAGTACATTATAATTAAACAAATTCGGCCTTAAACTGTTTTCCTTAAAATTTTTATTATTATGACCTTGAAATCACGAGGTTTAAGCTGGTCTTAGCGATTATTTTTCACCTTAGAACCTTCTATGATAAATTAAGCCTAAAAAACGATTAATTTATTATGGAATTTGTATCAGCAAACAGCATGACATACAAACAAACTCGATCCTTAGACTGCTCTCTGATGAAAATATTGTTGTAACCTTGAAATCAGGGGTTAAGCTGGTCTTTTCAATTATTTTTCACCTTCTAACCTTCAGCAATCAATTAAAATTTAAAAAAACAGTTAATTTACTATGGGATTAATACTAGAAAAAGGGCATTAAACTCAAACAAACTCACCCAGTCTGTTCTTTAATAAAAATCTTATTATTATGACCTTAAATAAAGGGATTTAAACTGGTCTTTTCGGTTATTTTTCAAAAATAATTTATTTGATGCGTTTGCCTTCTCTCTTTTCTCGAAGATTATGAGGTCAAAGAGCTGCCTGAGTCCAAAGGTCATTTGGTATACACGGAAGAGCTCCTCGGATCCTTGGCGACTCCTAGTAGCGGGGTGTCGACGACTACTGCCACATTCACTACATCCAAGGAGCAAAGGTAAAATGGTTTTAGGTTTTAGTCTTTTTTTTATTGATTGTGTTTTGTTTGTAGTGATGCTGATTGTTCGAGTTCTACTGCGACCAGCAGCACTCCGGCCACAAAGCCTCCATACTCGTACGTCGCCCTCATAGCCATGGCGATCGAAAGCATGCCAAAGAAGCGTGCCGCCCTCTCCGAGATCTACCATTTCATAACGACCACCTTCCCGTTCTTCCAGAAGAACAAAAAAGGCTGGCAGAACTCAATCCGGCACAACCTCAGCCTCAACGACTGTTTCGTCAAAGTGCCAAGGGAGAGTGGGAGCGAAAAGAAGGGCAACTACTGGATCATCAACCCCCTTTGTAGGAACATGTTCGAAAACGGTAATTTTAAAAGGAGGAGGAAAATGAAAAGGCCATATGTTCCGGGGAAACTACTACACGACAACACGTATCTTCCAAGGAGCCTGCTTCACTCGACATACCCATACCCGCCAAGGTACTAGGTCGATTTTTTTAAAATCCAGGACGTTCTTTAATGAATGTTTTTCCTCATAGCTGCAGCACGTGGAACATGAACACAAACCAGCTGCACTATCCTCCTTGTACGCAGACGGGCATACCGAGGACTCAGCAGACCTACAGTACGAACCTCCAACCCCAGGTGGGCTTAAGCTAAAAAAAAAAAAAATTTAAAAAATAAATAACAAGCCAATCCTATACTTATTTTTTTCTAGTATTCGGCCCTTCAGCCTCAGACTATGCAGATACCTATGAACGGTTACAACCAGCTAGCACCCATGGGTAGATGCAATAAAACCATAAAGAGGATTTTTGAATTTTTTTTGTCTCAATTTGTTTTTGGGTCTTCTTTAGATCTCGGATCTACATCGTCGAGCTCATTTTCGAACTACAGCAACAGCTGCAGCTTCAGGAAATACGATTCGATAGACCCGACCCTACGCTATCCATACTGGACACAGCCTGCTGAAAGTAACTCTTTTTATTTGATTTTTTTTGCAAACTTAATTTTTTTAAATTAAAAATTTTAGTCAAAGAAGAAGGACTTTTGACGACGTCGTCGAGTGTCAACTTCAACTCTTCCTTGGACTTCAGTCTTACGACAAGCCGGCCCAAGTGCTACATGTGAAATAAAGTAAGCCTGGCTCTTTTTCAAAAGCTGGATTCCCGTGGGAGTCTTATTGAGGGTATAAATAAAACGGGCCCTCGGGGAATCCTGGGCCATCCGCGGTCCCCGGGTCCGAAAACGATACTAGCTCCTGGTATATCAAGCTCCTAATACATCCCACTCCCTTGATAACTAAAATTCTTCCCCTATACTTCAGATTTTTCTACCTAGTATTTTTGAATCTCTTGTATATTGGAGAGTTGGAGAGAGAGGGGGNGAGAGAGAGAGAGAGAGAGAGAGAGAGAGAGAGAGAGAGAGAGAGAGAGAGGCCCAGGTTGAGCTCCTGTTACTTCCATCACTCCTGATAACGCCACATTGCATCTCCTAAAGTCTTCCTAATGTTGTCCTGTTTATGAATGCGCTCTCGGAAGTAGCCGTTGAGAGAAATATAGAAAATTATCCCTGGATGGAGGGAAAAAATTACTGGTTTGCAGGTTGAGCTTCTATGCTTCCTTTCTTCCTGATATTAGAGATAGTCCTCCTAGTCTGTGAAATGTTTGTGTTTATGATTTCTATTTATGAACCTCATATCCAGTTAAGGAGGAAGGAAAACAAAATGGAAGAACGAGAGAGGGGGAGAGTTGCCCAGTTAGTGCTCCTGATACATCCTTCCCTCCTGATCACTAAATGGTTGAGCTTCTGTAAAACGTATTGTGAACGTATACTCACGAAAGAATGGGAGGAAGACGAGAGTGAGAGAGAGAGAGATGTTCCTCTGTTCATCATCAGGAGCTCAACTGTATATCAGGATCTCAGTTATCAGGAGGGAAGGATATAACAGGAGATCAACCTGGCCATCTTTCACTCTCGCTCTCACTCACTCCTTTCAAGTTATAAGTTCATGCTAGATACAAAAATTTGAAAGTGTACCGTCCTACCTCCTTCACTGAATATAAATTCGTAAATGCGCCCATTTCAGAGAGTAGGAGCTCGAACTTCAGGAGGAATGAACTTACCGTGTACCTCAAATACGTAATTCAGGAGGAAAGGAAGTAACAAATGCTTAAACCAGGGAAAAACAATCAGAGACATTTTTGGATGGGGCTTAACTTTTAAGGTATCAGGATGGTATGATCTACCAGGAGTTTTACCGTTCAGATAGACGACCAGGAGCTCCCAGGAGGTCGATCAACCCAGATTAATTAGTTAATTTGCTTTTTTTTATTTCAGGACGATCTCTCCCTCAACAACCAAGACCAATCAACCAAACCCAGCGCCTCCTAATTATTTAAATTATTTATTCTCGGGGCCTTAAAACCGCCCTATTTTTGTGATTGACTACTTCTCCTTTTTCTAATTATGATTGTAATAATTATTCTATTTTGTAAACACTTAGCTATTTTGATTTTGTATTATAATTATTATTATTGATATTATCAAAAAAAATCTTCCCTCTTATTTGTATTATTTATTTAAAAATATAAAAATAAAAGTTATTATTCAGTATTGCAGTTTTTAATCACCTTTACTATCTTGATTTATTAAATAATAAAATCGCTGTTTTAGTGTGTTTTTGGAATTATTATTTTTATTGTGTATTTTGTGAGCTCATATTTTATTTGTTTGAACGGCCCCAAGTCACTTCTTTTTCTCGTTCATCCCGCCAAGCTTCTTCTGGATGTTATCCTGGGTCTGGACGACCCTCTGCAACTGGACTGGGCAGACGGAGATGCCGTTCCGGGCGACGCCGAAGGACGGTATCGAGGAGACGGTCTTCCGGGCCGGGATGAAGTTTCCGAGAGGCGGCGTGTACTGGTTGATCTTCTCCTTCATCTCCTGATTCCTCTTCGCCTGAGCCGGGCAGTTGTCGCAACCGTTCTATGCAAAAGGGGAAAAAGACACTTCTATCAGGAGGTGATAGCAGGAGGTCCTTCAAGGAGAACAAAAGTAAAAGATGAATGTTTCCAAGGAGGACAAAAGCTCCTGTAGTAGCACTAAAAACGGTTTCATGCTTAAAAAACCTTTTTATCAGGATTTTTTGGTCTTTAAGGAGCTCTCAAATAAAAATATGGTTTAACAAAGCTTCTATAGGTGTACTAAGAAAAGTTTCATGGCTTAAAACCATCCCTATCAGGATTTTAGCTCTATAAGGAGCTCTCAGATAAAAAGGATAGTTTATCAGTAGGTCAGAAGCTTGTATAGGAGCACTAGAAAGATTTCATGATTTAAAACCGTCCCTATCAGGATTTTAGTTCTATATAAGGAGCTCTCGGATAAAAACGATAGTTTATCAGGAGGACAAAAGTTTGATGGCTTAAAACCGTCCCTATCAGGATTTTAGTTCTATAAGGAGCTCTCAGATAAAAAGGATAGTTTATCAAGAGGACAGAAGCGTCTATAGGAGCAATAGAATGGTTTCAGGATTTAAAACCATCCCTATCAGGATTTTAGTTATATAAGGAGCTCTCAGAAAGAAAGGATAGTTTATCAGGAGGGCAGAAGCTTCAATAGGAGCACTGAGAAACGTTTCATGACTTAAAACCTTCTCTATCAGGATTTTAGCTCTATAATAACCTCTCACATAAAATGGATAATTTATCTGGAGGGCAGAAGCTTCAATAACGGCACTAGGAAAGGTGCCATTACTTAAAAACGCCTCAACAGGATTTCAATGTCTTTAAAAGGCTTTGAAATTAAAAGGATCGTATATCAGGAGGATATGAACTTCTGTACAAGCCCAGGGAAAGGTTTCATGGCTTGAAACCATCTCTATCCGGATTTTTGTTCTGTAAGAAACTCTCAGAAGAGAGCTGCTTATTATGCTTAAAAGGATAATTTATTAAGAAGGTAGAAGCTTTGATAAGAGTTCTGGGAAAGGTATCATCAGGGTTTCATTGTGTTTAAGGACCTTCGAAATAAAGAGGACTGGACATCAGGAGGGCGGGAGCGTCTTTAGTAGCTTTGAGAAAGGGTTGATGTCTTGATGTAAAATGTTTATCAGAATTTTCTGGTCATTAAGGAGCTGTCAGATAAAAAGTATGGTTTATCAGGAGGACAAAAAATTCAATAGGAGCCCTGAAAAACGTTTGATGGCTTAAAACTGTCTCCATCAGGATTTTAGATCTATAAGGAGCTCTCTGAAAGAAGAGATAGTTTATCAGGAGGTCAAAACATTCAATAGGAGGACTGAGAAAAGTTTGATGGCTTAAAACCGTCTCTATCAGGATTTTAGTTCTATTGGGTTGTCCGGAAAATAATGCAGGATTTTAAGTTTTCATTAAAAAAAATCTATATAAAATATTCTGTTTACGTTTACAGGATTACTCATTTGTATGNTGGGAAATTATTTTGATTAAAGAACATTGCTTTAAAGTAACTAGTTTCTTTTTTTTTGTTTAATACCAAAATCCTGCATTATTTTCCGGACAACCCAATATAAGGAGCTCTCGGATAAAAAGCATAGTTTATCAGCAGGACAAAAGTTTCAATAGGAGCACTAAGAAAAGTTTGGTAGCTTAAAACCGTCCCTATCACGATTTTAATTCTATAAAGAGCTCTCGGACAAAAAGCATAGTTTATCAGGAAGAGAGAAGCTTCTGTAGGAGCATTGAAAAATGTTTCATGGCTTAAAACCGTCCCTATCAGGATTTTAGTTCTATGAGGAGCTCTCGGACAAAAAGCATAGTTTATCAGCAGGACAGAAGTTTCAATAGGAGGTGATTAGTTTCGTAGCATAACAACAATTTTTTGAGGGGCTTCAACGAACTATTTATCTGATAACTTGAAGATTAAAAAAAAAGGCTCTTTTTGTTTTACCTTTGAAAATTTGCCCGCCGTCCCCATTCCCCGGCGCAACCCTTGCCTCAGAGGAGTCACCATCACCCACATCTTGAAACCGTCCGTCCGACCCCTTATGTGATTTTGCTCATGTCAGGAAATTGAAAATCATTATTTATTTATTTATTTTTTTTTTTTAAGCAAACCCGTCGAAAACATGTGTTTTTTTCCCCTGTGAGAAGTTTTCTTTTTGTCCATTTTTCCTTTTAAACCCGAAGGCCATGCTGAAGAAGCTGCCGTGGTACAGTGTAGTTATTCTCGAGGACGTAGCTTTTGTTTAATTTTTTTTTTTCACCACTCAGGAAGGCCAAAAAGATAGAGAAGATAGAACTCACTCTCTGGGAGGTAAGTGGAGGTTTAAAAACCGGAAAATCTGGAACCTGGATTTAAGAAAGGCATGGACATTCGCAGGTCGAAGAGTACACGAACAGGAATGCGACAGACGTCAAGTACCTCTATGTCTTCATGACCTTCCTCGTAATCCACGTGAGACTTTAAAAAACAAAAGCACGACCGAACAACAAAACAATACTTTTTTCTCGGTCCGTAGAGTTTCGCTCCGTTCCTCGCCTTTACCATGTTCCACCGTGACATACCCGTGGACGGGAGCAACTACCCCGAGGTGTGCGCCGTCGCTTGTTCGATCCCGTTCGTCACGAAGGCGAACCAGACTGCCTCCTGTCCCTCGGGCTCTGAGTAAAACCAAAACCGCCCATAAGCCACAAAAAACGACAACATAATTTTCCCTTCTAGGTACATCTTCAACACGAAAGGGATCCAGTTCGAGGGGGAAATCAAGATCAACGTCTCCTCCCCTTGCATACAGGACTGCTTCCGACTGGCTGACGAGTAAGGATATAAGGATAATAAAAACTTTTAAATTAGAACGTAAACAGTACTAGGAAACTATAGATTATACTTGTGTATTTATTGTCCTACGTAAGAGGTGTCTTATTTCAACGTTTAGCCTAAAACTGCAAGCTTGTAATGAAGGTTTTAACATTCGAACAGTAGATTATACTTGTGCTTTTATTCTAACCTAAAATGTGCTTTACTAGAGGTTTTATCCTAAACATTGAAAGTTATAAGGTTTTAACCTTCAAACAGTAGGCTATACTTATGCTTTTATCCTCACCTAAAAGGTATCTTACTTGAGGTTATACCCTAAAGTAAAAATTTATAATTTGTTGCTTTTAGGCTAAAATCACAGTAAAAATTGGCGGAGGGGTCTAAAATAAAAGGTTTAGCCTAAAATAAAATTTTATACACGAGGTTTTAGGCTAAAAATAACTGATTATCTCGAGATTATAGCACTTTTTTTTACATGAGGTTTAGCCTAAAATAGAAGGTTATATTCGGTGTTTTAAGGCTAAAATCAAGGTTTTTGTTTGAGATTTTTACTCTAAAATAAAAGTTTAAACTTGAGGTTTCAGCCAAATCAAAAGTTAGACATGCGATTTAGTCTAAAATCGAAGGTTACAATTGGTGTTTTAAGGCTAAAGTCAAAGTTTATACTTGGTTTTTAGCTAAAATAAAAGTTTATACTTAAAATTTTAGTCAAGCATAAAGTTAAATATGAGGTTTAAGCCTAAAATAATTTTTTACATGCGTTTTAGACTAAACTCAAATTAATACGTTCATTTATGACTATTAAATACATATTTGAACTAAAATAAAATGTTATTTTGAGGTTGTTGCCTAAAACCAAAGGTTATAAATGAGGGTTTAAGCTAAAATCAAAATTTATTATCTATGTTTTTAAACTAAAATCAAAGATTTTACTTAGGGATTTCAGCCTAAAATAAAAGATTATAATTGTGGTATTAGCCAAAAATAAAGGTTATCATTGAGGGTTTAGCCCAAAATAGAACATTTTACTTGGAGATTTCAGTCCAAAATCAGAGTTTATAATTGATATTTTTAGAATAAAATCGAAGGTTGTACTTGAGATGTTCAGCCTAAAATAAAAAGTTATAATCTTTGATTTTAGAATAAAATCAATGTTTATACGCCGATTTTTTAGCCTAAAATAAAAGTTTAAACTTTGTTTTAGCCTAAAATAAAATTTTATAAGGTTGTATTGATGGCCTTTAGGGTACGGTAATACGTTATAATTGAAGTTTTATACTAAAACTTTAACTTCTACAATTCATTTAGGTTTTTAGTTGTGATAAAAAAGTCAGTGTCACGAGCGGGATTCGAACCCACGACCTTCGGTTAGATACGCGGCTACTCTACCACTTGAGCTATCGTGACTTCTATCCACTCGGACATTAACTTCCCATCTCAACCCCACCTTTTGAATTTCCCTCTCAACTAAAAACCTCAATTAATTGAAAAATATCAATTGGTCAAGCGGACCACGAAAACTAGTGAATTTAATTTCTACTTCGAGTTTTCAGCCTAAAATAAAAGGTTAAACTTAATCGTGAGTTCAGCCCAAAATAAATTTTTTACACGAGGTTCAGCGTAAAATAAAATGTTACATATGAGGATCAAATCGAGGTTTCAAGTTTATACAATAGGTTGTAGCCGAAATTATAAGATTGTACTTGAATTAATAACTTTCTAGTAATATTTTTTTAAAGGCTGGTATCCTTAAAAGTAAGTATAAAATCTTCTAATTATAATTGAGGTTTTAGCTTAAATTGAAGGATATTCTTGGATTTATAGTTTAGAGAAGCAGGTCGTAATTAAATTTTTAAGTTCCGACTTTTTTCTCTCCTGAAGCGACGCCTTTTTGAACTTCTGCTCGGACAAAACCGGCGAATCCGTCAGGAAGCTGGTCTCCAAGTTGAAAATGGACGACCAACTCGTTTGTATTTATATTGAAATAATTTTAAATGTAAAAAGTTTTCTTTTTGCCTTTTATTTATTGATCCACAGATGATCGTGAAGCTTTTCTACAGAAATTTCACTTTCAGCCTGATCTTCCGATTAGTCGGCTTAGGTAAGGATGATACACGCATATATATTTTTTCTTTACATTTCTCCTTTTTTTTAAGCTTTCATCTACATGTGTTTCATCCTGTTATACTACAATATTAAAAAGTTTGTTCCATCCTCCGTCGTTTTGTACATCATTCTCAACCTGGTTGTGACTGTTTTAATCCTCGCCTGTCTCGTGTGAGTTTCAGTTTTAAAAAAAAGAGAGGTTACACTTGAGTTTTTAATCTTAACGCCTTTAACCTCAAAGTCCGTTATATGTTTGGTTATTAGTCTAAGATAGTGAGGTTGTTACTTTAGCTTTTAGGCTATTCTAGTACTAGTGTTTATACTTAGATTATAACTTAAAAGATGAGTTTATATGAACTAGCTTTTTAGACTAAAATCGCAATTCTTTATATGTTTGTTTTAATTTAAAGAATATTCTTTAACCTGATACCTGAGATAAGTTTAAAAGGGATTTTGAAAGTTGAGAGCATATGTCGCATCGTACCTGCCTCCCTGCTTTTCTGTTCTTTAGTAAGTTTTGTTCTTTTTTTAAATTTTTATTTATTTATTATTATTTTTTTTTAGGTGTACACAGTATGGATGTTGACATGGGCGAGGAAGCTGATGGCCCTGGCGGCGGTAATGTTCAAAATGGTCCACCAACCCATCGCAAGCTTGTCGTGCCTCCTTGCCCTCAACGGAATCGTGAGTCAAACCAAAACCAATCAAAAAATCCGACCGAGTGGCAAGACTTTTTGACAAATTCCCAGGCGATGCTGTTCGCAGGCATAGTGATCAGCCTCGTGCACATACTGATCGTAAGCTACTACAGCTGCGGTGTACTCGTCGTGGCGGACGGCCAGTTCCACTACAGGAAGTCGTCCGTCCTTCTTGTACTTGGCGGTTTCCAGGTCGTTTTCGCCTGGTGGATACTCTTCTTCATGAAGGACCTTTTGGTCGCCGTGGTCGCCGGTTCTGTCTCAAATTGGTATTTCACCAAGTCCGTCCCTGTTCGACTTCATCGCCCTTCTTTTTCTTTAAGCTACAAATATAATCTTTTTTTTTAGACCCGAGGTCTTCGAGACCTGCTCACGTCTCTCTCCTGTGACGGCCAGCCTATCGGTCATCTGCAAGTACCACCTCGGTTCGATAGTCGCCGGTTCGTTCTTCCACGCTTTCGACTATTTCAGAGTCGCCCTCGTGGGCGCGTTCTTTTTCACGAGGTCGAAACGATGCCTAAATAAAAATTCTGGTAAATGCCTCGGCTACGTCTACTCTGCAACCGGATACGCCCCGTACGTCATTACTGGTAAGAAATATTAAAGGACATGTAGTGATTTACTTGCATTTGGACTTAACCAATAAAGTTGTTTACTAAAACCTGAATTATTAACTAAAATACCAGCTGAAAGGAAAATTGACGTTTTAATTCTTTAACCATAAGAGTTTTTAGCATGAAATCTTAGGTTATAAAGTTTAATTAAAAATTGAGTTGTATAATTGAGATTTTTAGCCAAAACTGTTAAGGTATAATTGGGGTTTTCAACTATTAACCTACAAGCTATAGATGTACTTTTAACCTAAAGTGTACTTAGATTAAAAATTGTAGCCTAAAGTATAAGATTTTATTGAGGTTTCATTCATAATCTAAGGTTATAATTCTGTTTTTACTCTAAAATCAACTAGATAATATGATGTAACAGCCTAAAAAAGTGTTGAACTTTATCCTAAAAACTTTATATAGAGAGTTTTATCATGAAATAGATAGTTATACATGAGGTTTTAGCCAAAAATAAATGTTTAGGCTTGAGGTTTGAGCCTAAAATTTAAAAAAAAATTTGCACGACGTTTAACTAAATAAAATATGTTTGTGGTTTTAGCCTAAAATTTTTTGTTAATGTAAATGTTTATTATTCCTAAAGAGATCAATTCTGTTTTTAGTCTAAAATAAACTAGATGATATGTTATACTTTTTACAGTTTTTAGACAGAACAGGGTTTTTAGACTAATACAAAAGTTTAAGCCTGAGGTTTAAGCTTAAATAAAACGTTATACATGAGGTTTGGCCTAAAATAAAATTTTATACTTGAGATTTTGCCAAAGTGTAACCATATGTACTTTATGTTTTAGCGTTAAAAAGGTTATACTCAGAGTTTTAGCCTAAAATAAATGATAAAACATGGAGTTTTAACCTTAAAAATGTTATACTTGGGGTTATTACCTAAAACCAAAGGTTAAACTTGGGGTTTTAACCTAAAATATTATACTTTCAGTTTTAGCCTAAAATCTTATACTTATCTTTGGTTTTGAGTGTAAAATAAAAAGTTGTACTTTGAGTTTTAGCTTTAAAAGTGTTATGCTTGGGGTTTTAGTTTAAAATAAACTATTATGCTAGGCTTTTAGGCTAAAATAAAAGGTTTACTTGGGGGTTTAGACTAAACGAAAAGTTATAGTTGGGGTTTTAGCCTTATAAAATGTTATATTTGGGATTTTAGGCTAAATTGAAAGGCTATACTTGGGGTTTTAACCAAAAAAAATTGCACATGGTGTTTCAGCCAAAAAAATGGGTAAACTTCTGGTTTTAAAGTAAAATGTTATATTCTACTTGGGGTTTTGCCTAAAATCAAAGGGGTGTTTATATCTTCATAGCTTAAAAATGCAAGTAACACTTCAACATTTCTCATAAATTGGTAACAATTAAGTTTGTACACCTACCTTATACCGTTATTTTCATATAACTTTCAAATCCTTAATCCTTAAAAAATGTAGTTAAAGTTAAAGTTAACTAACTGGTTTTGTTAGCGTTTTTTTAACCTAAGCCAATTAAAGGTAAAATAGCTATGGATATAAAATGAAAAGATAAGGTTTTACCATTAAATATCAGGTTATACTTGAATATTTGGTTTAAAGGGCTGTTTTTAGCCTAAAAGAAAATTTTGTTTTTTAACAGTGGTCGCCGGTTTACCATTCTTCGAGGCAGTTGAGAAGTGCCATGAGCTGATGTCCGGCGTCTCCCATCTGAGAAAGTCCCTCGTCCCATTCTTCTTCGTCTACAACACTCTCATCGTGAGCACGTACGTCGGCGTCTCGATGCTCTTCTTGCACAAGGTGCGCGGCCTCGAATTCTTCTACCCGATGATCGTTTTCTTGACCTTCACCAGCTTCCTCGTCGTACGTCTCATATCGGCCTTCTTCACGGCTGTACTCCTCAGCACCCTCGTCTCCTTCTTGGTCGAACAGGAGAATGGCGATAATATCAAAGGGCCGATGGTGAAGGTCCTCAATCCAGTTTTTCATTTTTTAACTTTTTTCTTCATTTAATCAACTTTTTTCTCTTTTACTAGCCCTTCATAGAAATGGGAAAGGCCATCGCAGACAGGCCTTACGGTTACTGCGCCAAGAACACAAACCCTCCATAGATTAGTTTCCTTTTAGTTTAAAATTGAATCAATAAAACTATAACACAAAACATTATAATTCATGTTTTTAGGCTTAAATCTAATGGTACACATGGGGGAGGGGGTTTACCCTAAAATAGTAGGTTACGAATCTGTTTACAATCCTTTAGGATGTTTAATTTATCAAAAGGTTATAACTGTGTAAAATATGGGGGTATAATTGAATATTCAAATCAATATCCAACGAACAGTTATACTTATACTTGTGTTTTCAGCCTAAAAATAGGATGTTATTATTTAGGTTTCAAAACAATCTAAAACCGACCGGTTAAACTTGCGTTTTAAGCCCAAAATAGTAGGTTATAATTGAGGTCGACCTTTAACTATAAAGTTAAATTTGTCTTTTTAGCCTAAATTAGAGGTTATAAATGTGGTTTCAAGTCCTAAATCAACTGGTTATACTTGCGTTTTTCGTATAAAATAGTAGAATACAATTAAAGTTTTAATCTTAAACTATAAAATTAAATTTGTGATTTTAGCCTTAAATAGGAGGTTATAACTGACGTTTCAAATCTTAAATCAATTGGTTATATATGTTTTTGCTTAAAAAAGGGAGGTTATAATTGAGGTTCCCAATCCTAAATCCGTTGGTTATACTTGTGTTTTTAGCATAAAATACTAGGGTATAACTAAACTTTTAATCTTAAACTATACATTTAAATTTGTGTTATCATAATAAAGGAATATTGGTACGCTTTTAATCTCATTACACGAGGACAAATAAGTTAATAATTGAAGTAAAATTTTAAAAAAAATTTCGTTGGTATGTTATGACTTCTTACTGTTTGCCTCCTTTTAAGAGATCCTTGAAGTTTTTTTCCTTTTTGACAACATTTATCGATAGCCGAGGAATCAAAATGAGCTTTTTTTAGACTACGCGGTTTTGAAATAAGCCGGTTTTCTTCTTTGGCCGATGTTGACGGCGCTCTGAGCTTGTAACTTTATCAGGAGGTTACTCTGCTTCCCAGGTTTCCGTGTTTTTTGGCGTCTGCTACTTTCGTACTTTCCAACTTGAAACTTTATTCTCTATTCTCTATGAGTTTTTAATGTTTATGCTGTGAATTGAGTAAGGAATATTTAATAATGAGCTACGTCGAGATTGTCGAGGAAGACGCGGCCGATTTGCGCTTTCCAAAGGGTAATTTTGACTTTTCAATTTTTTTTTTTTTAAGTTGGTTGGCTGTTGGTTTTGTTTGCCAAAAAAAGTGTATAAATTCACTTTATTACCGTGTAATTAGGTTCAGGATTGACGAAGGATCGACTTAAACTCTAGGTTTGCGTTGTGTTTGTTAAATTTTCACTCGTCTCTTTCCATAGAGTTTGAAAACGCCGAGACCCTTCTCATATCTGAAGTGCACATGCTCCTGGCCCACCGCAAGGCGCAGAACGAGAGCGCAGAAGAGGAGCAGGAGTTCTCCGAGGTCTTCCACAAGACGGCGACATACACTGAGAGGTTCCGCAAGTTCAGGAACAAAGAGACAATTGCCTCCGTGAGGAAGTAAGAGCCTATTTTGCAAACTGAACGTCCCGATATTAATCCATACTTTAGCCTGTTGACACAGAAGAAACTGCATAAATTCGAGCTCGCTTCGCTTGCCAACCTCTGCCCTGAGATGCCAGAAGAAGCAAAAGCACTCATCCCTAGGTTTTTTCTTTGAAATATTTATTTTATCTTATTAGATTATTTCAAATTTAAAAAAAAAATCAATTTTTAGCCTGGAAGGACGTTTCGAAGACGAAGAACTAAGGCAGATCTTGGACGACATCCAGACGAAACGGAGTCTTCAATATTAAATTTCCTACATTAAATGTCCTATATTATAATTTTATATTTATTTTCTTTATTATCGTAAATATAAGATGTACGTTGTATATTTTTTATATTTTTATTTTATTATGATTTGTCAAATTCTTGCATTTTCTCGTGGGACCTCCTTCAAGAGACAAAAATGGGGACCATACAGGCGATGTGGAGGGCTATTTTATGGATTTTGGTAATTTAATTAATTTTTAATAACAATGAAGCGGGGTTGCTCGAGTATCGAGGGACCCCGGGAAGCGAATATGCAAGAGGATGAGGGGGCTTATTTTTGGAACAGAGAGTTCTTATGAATTTTCCAAAAGGAAAGAGAACCGGCGGTAAGATAAGCTTAATCATAAGGTTAGGCTTATGTTTTGTTCCCTAAAATATTAGGCTATAAATGAGGTTTCAATTAAAAATCCAAAAGTGTGTGGTGTTTAGTGACTGATAATTAATGATTATTTAGAGATCGTGAGATGCGGTCTGATGTGATGTAGGTGTAGAAAAACATTTTCTTTATCGTGCCAACGTTTCGGCCTTTATTGAGATCATCTTCAGGGTCTGTGATTTATAAACATTGTTTACATTATACAGTACGTGTAAGATGTGAAAATGAATTTATACAATGATGTATACAATGTAGAAATTTTAGGTTTAGAAATTTCTATATTGTGAAAATTCATTTTCAAATCTTACATGTATTTGCATAATTTAAACAATGTTTATAAATCCCAGGCCCTGAAGATGATCTCAATAAAAGTCGAAACGATACTATAAAGAAAAAGTTTTTCAAAACCTACATCTCACGATCTCTAATCTTTAAAAAAAGTAACAATCTGACTCAGCCATCCCTACCAAAAATGAATCTTTAGATTTTCGTTGGTTGCCATACACTGGTGAAATATCTTTGAAATATCAAAACAGAAAAAGGTAAAATTCTTAAACCAAGTTTTAGAGCAGCTTTTAATGGTACGCATTCACTTAAAAACATTCTCTCAAAACCAACAACTTGTCAAAAAACGGTTTACCAACTGTAACCAAGTGTAATGATTGCTATAATAAATATATATAACAAAGTGGCAGAGAAAATAAAACGAGAGTTAAAACACTTGCCTATGCCAACAAATTTTCTGAATTTAAGGATCATCTAATCTTAACAGTTTCAACAAAGGAAGGAAACTAGATTTGTAACTCATTCAACCTAATGGCGAGCGTTTAATGCTCAAAATTTGGGTCATTGCAAACAACAAATCTGAGTAGAACCATAATTTACAAAAAGGGAATATACATACTCACCCCACTTTCATAATTTCTTCTAATAGATCATAATTAAATTATAAACTAAATTAAAGAGACTACTATTGAGTGACCTACTTATTAGCACTGATGGACCAGAAAAGAGTGGCATTCTGAGGTGTATAAAAGGCAAGATGTGTATGGCGAACCTGGAGAATTGAAGGAAATATTGAATTTTAAAAATTTATGAAATAAATATTGAAAATTCTAGCAAATCCATCGAAAAATGTAATGCTATTTTACTCACCAATATGACTCAGTCGCACTGCACACTTAAAATAAAAATGAAACAACACTGCTTCTATGAAGTCTATTTGTATTAAAATTGAGGATAGTAGAACATTATTATCAGTTCACAATATCTTCAGTTTAGGTGAAAATGTAATTGTACTCAGTAGCAATCAAAGTTCAGTTTTTATATAGACTTAATGACCTAATATGTCTTCTTGTCACATAAATATGTTATGTTTGTACTATTTTCAACTAGGAATTGGGCCTATGTTCCAGAGTGATAATGTGGGCAAAATAATGGGATTTTCTTCCATTTCTTTGGCACAAAACCGATATTTACTTATATTTTTAATTAAATTTGATTTTTTAATAAAGTTCAGTTTTCAAAAACAAAAACTTCATCTAGTTGGAAAACCATATTTTTTGGGACTTGTAATGTTTTAAGTTAACTGTAGATCTCGCTAGGCTAGGCAGATAATGTTTTATTTCAGGAACGCTAATTCTATTAAAATGTGAATTTCATTTATTGCGGGCCAATTGTACTGAACCAAGATGATTAAATTGGCTTTTGGGGCACAAATATACACTAACATGCTCACTAACCTGGCTGCCAGCAGAGAAAGTTGACTTACACTTTGTAAATCTCTTCTGGGAAAAGAAAAAAAATTAAGTTAAAATCAGAAAATGGTAGACAAGGTACATATAAAAAATATATGTTATATAAATAAAATTTACCCTCTGAAGGCAAAAATCCCCGCCTTAAAACAGCAACGATGAACAAGCTAACTCTGTACACTGTTCAACACTCGCGGAAAAATTTAACGCACTGTTTAAATATCACTTTATGAAAATGTAAAAAGAAGGTGTAAAAACGGCTCAACACACCTATAAAAAGAAAACAGAACTGAATAAAGCATACAGTAAATTAAATGTGGTTTATACACAAAAGTTATTTATAAGATAAAAAAAATTGTATTAAATGAAACTTGTAAAAATACTAAGTAGAATCACCTATAAATAATTTAAAAACCTTTGTAATTTTTGTTTTAACCTTCAATGGCAATGAATTTTTTGTCAATCAGTAATATGTAGGTTTTTAATAGTGTTGACATAATAGAAAAGGTAACAAACATACAATATTGTACATTGTAATTAATTAAGGTTTTTAGTTGAGATGAAAAAAAGTTAATGGCACGAGCGGGATTCGAACCCATGATCTTCAGCTAGATACACCGCTGCTCTACCACTTGAGCTATCGTGACCTCGATCCACTCAGACATCAACTTCCTATCTCAACCCCACCTTATGAGTTTTCCCTCCTGTTTGCCATTTTTCCATTGTAATATATTAATTGGTCAAGCGGACCACAAAATTAGTGAATTTAATGAATTAAATGAAGTACACTTCACTAAAGCTCTCCGAGGCCATTTCATTTGTCGTTGAGAATCCAATCCGATTACATGACATTTGAAAAATGGCAAACAGGAGGGAAAACTCATAAGGTGGGGTTGAGATAGGAAACGGCATATTAGCCGAAGATCGTGGGTTCGAATCCCGCTAGTGCCATTAACTTTTTTTCACCTCAACTAAAAACCTTAATTAATTGTAATGTATTAATTGGTCAAGCGGACCACGAAATTAGTGAATTGTATATTGTGTGTGAATCATTGTTAAAAGGTCTCATTTCACAATAACAACATTTATGTAATATGATCAAATGCAGAAGTTATATTTGGATGTTGAACAGAAGTGTTAAACTTTTTTTTTTTTTTCAAATCTTGTTTTCAACATTAAAGTGATCAGGTGTGAGTAAAAAAGTTAATAACTTTCGTCAAACACTGAACTGCTGCTTCTTGAAGTTCAAATATCCAAGTGATAACATAGCTTTTGATTAATTTACACATCTCAAAAGGGCTAAAGTCATTAAAAATTGAATCCTTTGAATTTTTGGCCGTGGACAGAATGATATATTTTCTACACTATCCTCTACTCTTATAAGCGGTTCTTTCAAGTCTGTGAAGGATCAGATTACTCTGACACTGCTCTCTGGCTGTGGGAATACCAATGTGCTCGAACCAATATTCATCCTTTATACTGCATATGTTCGTACTAAACCTACCTCCCTTCTTGCACCTTTTGCTCATTACACTATCCTCTATGGTTGCTTGGGAAGATCTGCAGAGAACCTAAACAGATGCTACAGTCTGCTCTATAAACTTATAGGACTATCCAAGCTATCGAAGAAAAACATACAATTTACAAAATGCCAGTACAATCAATTTGGAGATAAGGAATAGAATTGTGGGAAACCGTTAAACCTTCCACTATCCAACATCTCCAATCCTTTCAATCTAAAGTCCTACAATCGCTTATAAGTGCTCAGTATTATGTTTCCAATACTACTCACCACAATCTCTTCCATCACCTCAATAGTCTAACCCAAGACTTGTCCAACAGAACCCTCCCCTACAATCTCATAAGTTGTCTCAGGAGGAATGGCCACCACGACCTCTTTTCTATCAAGAAGGCAGTGAAGTTTATTTAGTAAAGTGGGAGAATAATATTGATTGTTTACTTACCTCAATGTGAAAATGTAAATAGCCGTAAATATATCTTTGTCCATCAAATTACATATTGTAATAAAATATATTAAAAAATACACCATAGTATGTTGTGTGTGGTGATTAGTGACTGTTAATTGATATTTATTTAGAAATTGTGAGATGCGGTCTGGTGTGATGTAGGTTTCAGGTGCCACGATAAAGAAAATGTTTTTCTGAAACCTACATCACACCAGACCGCATCTCACGATTTCTAAATAAAAAACAATAGTATGTTGTTTAAATAGAAAGTCGCGTTATTGTTCTTTTCGTTATCAGGTGGTTGGGCTCTTTTCACCACAAATTATGGAAAGGACACATGACTTAATTTAATCATAATCCTTTTTTTTTTTTTTTTTTTTTTTTTTAATTTGTAAAGGTATAGAACCTCTAAGAGTCATAGCTGCCTTAAAACATTTGCTTATGTAGACTCCTCATTGCCCGTGCAGTGCCGGAGGAAGCACGGCCCCAGAGAGGAGTAAGCCCAGATGGCGTCGCAAGTCAGATGGATGAGCACTAAAATTAACATGATGTTATCATCATATTAATTTTATTTTGGCTACAAATTTTATTTCGTCTCTCCTACATGCGCTGTGAACATCCTTCAAGAGCTGGGGTTTTCTTTCTCACCCATGTGCAAAGTGCATGCCCCTCCGCCATACCAAACTCCTCGGCCACCACCACCAGTGTTTCGGCTATCCTGCATGGCCATGTTTGGACCTATAAGATCATTCAGACAGGGAGAATAGCTAGTTAGTTGCTTGGGATGTTATGTTCGGTCGCTGGAGACTTTTTTTGTATAAAGGCGTTGTGCAGCATGGTGGCGTTCACACAATCATACTGTATCGAGCAGATTGTTCCAAACTATTTTCATACGTCTTCTTTGAAACTTTTAAAAAATAGATAGAAGTGATATTTTTGATAACTACAAATGGATTTTATTAGTTCAAACATATCCAACTCTTTGGAACAAAAAGTGACCATCCAGGGAAAAAGTTTAAAAAAAGTAAATTGTGAAATGTGGGTAAACCCACATTACTCTTCTTTTATTTGTTTTTTGTTTAATTAAATACCAAAGAGCTACAGCTTCTAGCTCGTCCATTATAAAAATGCGACAGAATAAAAAAAAAACTAGGTCTTTAAACCACTTGGGAGAGGATTGAGAAGAGATGGAGGGAAGGCGACTGAATCTAGTCGTCAGGAGAGTTGCCTGGATACTTTTTGTATCTCATAAATTTTCATTGTTATTGTGAAATGAGACCTTTTAATAATGATTCACACAAATGTACAATATTGTGTTTGTTACCTTTTCTACTATGTTAATGCTATTAAAAACTTACATCTTATTGATTGACAAAAAATTCGTTGCCATCGAAGGTTAAAACAAAAATTACAAAAATATTTTTAAATTATTTATAAGGTGATTCTATTTAGTATTTGTACAATAAACTATACCCCCTGTTTCGTAAGTTTATTTTTGAATCAGCCGGATAGGAGGGGTACTGTTGTCCATTGACTTAGAGCTATCACTTTCTCTCTGGACAGGCCCAGATCTCTACCTCTCCTTAACAATTCCACTGTTGTGTCTCTATTAATAGTATAATAAATAACTCACTCTGGGCACTCACAACACAACAGACAAGAACGACACAAAAAATAAACACTTTGAGCCTTGAAAATGATCACAATAAAGATCGAAACATTGGCACAATAAAGAAAATGCTTTTCTAAAACCTAAGTCACACCAGATCGCATCTCACGATCTCCGAATAATAATAAATAAATTTGTGAATTATGCCAGTTTTCTTGAGTGAATATAGCATTTCACCCGGAGAATTCCAGGCATGGTAAAACTTATTACGATGATACTTTGCCTGTTCTTTGATAGAACTTTCCATTGTAAAAAATGATTATTTGGAGATCGTGAGATGCAGTCTTGTGTGATGTATGTAGGTCATGATCTCCAAATAATCATTAATTAACGGTCACTAAATACTACACACTTAGTATTTGTACAATAAATCATATCCCCCCTTTTTTGTAAGTGAGTGTAGTTATGTGTAAACCACATTTAATTTACTGTATGCTTTATTCAGTTCTGTTTTCTTTTTATAGGTGTGTTGAGCCGTTTTTACACCTTCTTTTTACATTTTCATAAAGTGATATTTAAACATTGCGTTAAATTTTTCCGCGAGTGTTGAACAGTGTACAGAGTTAGTTGTTAATCGTTGCTGTTTTAAGACGAGGATTTTTGCCTTCGGAGGGTAAATTTCATTTATATGTAACATCTATTTTTTTTATATGTACCTTGTCTATCATTTTCTGATTTTAACTTTTTTCTTTTCCCAGGAGAGATATTCAAAGTGTAAATCAACTTTCTCTGCTGGCAGCCAGGTTAGTGAGCATGTAGTATTCTCTTTAATTTAGTTTATCATTTAATTATGATCTATTAGAAGAAATGATGAAAGTGGGGAGAGTATGTATATTCCCTTTTTGTAAATTATGGTTCTACTCAGATTTGTTGTTTGGAATGACCCAAATTTTGAACATTAAATGCTCATCATTAAGTTGAATGAGTTACAAATCTAGTTTCCTTCCTTTGGTGAAACTGTTAAGATTAGATGGTCCTTAAATTCACAAAATTTGTTCGACCTAGGCAAGTGTTTTAACTCTCGTTTTATTTTCTCTGCCATTTTGTTATATATATTTAATATCGCAATCATTACAATTAAGATTGTAAACCCCGCTTCTTGACAAGTTGTCATATTTGTCTTTAGGTTCATTTTATTAATGAAATGTAATGGCTCTGGCTGTGGGAGTACCACATGGCAGTGTGCTCGAACCAATACCCTACATCTTTTATACTGCAGATGTTCCCACTATACTTACCCTAAACCCACTAACACCCTTCTAACATTGTTCTTTTGCTCATGACACAGCTATCCTCTAACCCTGATCCTGCGGTTGCTTGGGAAGATCTGGAGAGAGGCTATCACCCAATCGTTAATGATTTGACTATGGGTTTACACGAGTAAAATAAACCTTCAGCATTTTACCACAGACTTGAAAATAACAATGATTTGTAGAAATATGAGATTGGTTTGGAAAAAAGCAAAAGTACCAAGATGAAAGCCCTTGTCAGAATTTCTTAGGTTTGTGGCTATTTTCCAGCTTAATGATTTAACCGTGGGATCTCATGAGTAAAATAAACCTTCAGGACTTTAGCAAGGGCTTAAAAATAACAGTGATTTGTAAAAATATCAAATTAGTTTGGAAAAAATCAAAAGTACCAGGATGAAAGCTCTTGTCAGAATTTCTTAGGTTTGTGGCTATCTTCCAGCTTAATGATTTGACCGTGGGATCTCATGAGTAAAATAAACCTTCAGGACCTTAGCAAGGGCTTAAAAACAACAGTGATTTGTAGAAATTTCAGATTAGTTTGGAAAAAATGAAAGGTATCAGGATGAGATCTCTTGTCAGAGGTTTTGTGGGTATTTTCCAGCTTGATTTGACTTTGGAATTTCGTACAATAAAAAGTACAGGACTTTTCCTAGGACTTTAAAACAAGCAGTTTTTGAAGAAAAATTTAAAAATTCTTTCAATCAGGATTGTTAATATCAGATTTTTCATACCTTTGTGGTGTAGTTGGAAATATATAAAATCCTTCCTAAGAGTTAATTATTGTATTATTTAATTTTAAAACTAATTAGATTTAATTGATTAACCCTGTTTTTGTTAATGATCGTATTGTGAATATGATGTGGGCGTGTTGGGGAAATTCAGTTTTGTCCCCCTTGGCAGGCTTGTTCTTCGAACCGGATCGGCCGGCCGCCCGTCTGGCTCAGTCGCCCTCCCAGGCCCGCGAACGGCACCGTTCCAAATTTTGCAAAAATTTTTACCGGTCCACACGGCAAAAAAAGGACAAAAGGGGGGAAAATCCAACGGCGATCCGGACCGGTGCGTTTCTCCCCAGTTGGAACTTTCGGACCGGTTGGAACTTTTTACTCCAGTGCTACCGTTCAGTTTCTATCTCTACTGTTTTTTTTCCGAACGATTTTTTTTTGAAATATTTAATTTTGTTGAAATTTTCCTTTAAAAAATTTCTGGTGCCTGTTTAACCATTTTTTTGGATAATTGATCATGGAGAGATCATGGAGAAAAAATAAAATCAAGGTGAGTTTTTTTATATTTTTTTTAAATTATTTTTATTTACAATTCTTCTCCGTAAGTAATAAACAATAATTTAATATATAAGGATATTTAAATTTTTCTTTTTGTAAATTTATTTATTTGTTTATTTTTTAATTGATTTTCTTTAATATTTGACCCTTTTTTTGAAATAGTGCCCTAGGTTGGAAATCGGGGTTGGCACGGGGGGGGGGTGATTGATCAGATATGTTGAATTTGGTGGGCGGTGTAAAGCGGTTTTTCCACCCTCCACCCTCTTTTTTCCTTCCAGGTAGGAGGGGTGAATGTAAAAAAAATGGACTTTTTGGTCAGTGGTTTTAGTCCGCACAAGGGGCTAATTTGCTCCATCGCCTCGGACGTGTAGAATTTTCCTGGCAAATTTTCTAGGTAATGAGAAAAATTGAACCTAGGCCGGACATGGAAATGTCAGGAGGTCGAGTCGAGGAGGAAAGGAAGGGAAAAAGGTCAATTTGAAATTTTGGAGAGGTGAACCTGCAGTCAACACTAAACTGAGACAGCCTGTAAATTTGGACAGGTCAAGTCTCGACTGATGTCAACAAGTGCACACAATAAAAACGTTTAAAAAGAACAGCGAAAGATTTTAGCTTAATTTGAAATTAATATCAGGATAAAGTCCTGGCAGATAAACATGGGTTTTTCTAGTTTGTATCGACAACTATTGGATCTTGTCTAAAATAAACCTTCTGGACTTAATCTAGGACTTTAAAAAGTCAGATATTGAAATTTAAAGTTTAAAAGTTTAGCTTAATTAGATGAAAGTATCAGGATATGAGCTCCTGTTTGATTTTCTCTAAGTTTTATCTTTATTCTTAGCTTGCCTCGAATACTATTGCATCTTACGTCTAAAATAAGCATTCTGGATTTAACTGAGGATTAAAAAAGGCAAATTTTGAAGAATGTCAACTTATTTTAACTTAGATTAAAATATCAGGATAACAGCTCCTCTTTCTCTGTCTTTTCTCGTTTTTCATAGTTTTCTTAGATTGCTGATAAATCATCTGTCGAAATTAACCTTCTGGATTTAATCTAGGACTTTAAAAAGTCAGAGTATATCGAAATCTAAACATATTTTAGCTTAATTAGATGAAAGTATCAGGATATGAGCTCCTGTTTGATTTTCTCTAAGTTTTATCTTTATTGCTAGCTTGCCTCGAAAACTATTGCATCTTATGTCTAAAATAAGCATTCTGGACTTAACCGAGAATTTTAAAAAAAGCCAAATTTTAAAGAATGTCAACTTAAAGTCAACCTCTCTGTCTTTTCTCGGATTTTTTAGTTTTTCTAGATTGCTGATAAATAATTTGTGTAAAATAAGCCTTCTGGACTTAATCTAGGATTTTAAAAAGTCAGATTTTATCAAAATTTAAACATATTTTAGCTTAATTCGTTAAAAGTATCGGGATATGAACTCCTGAGTGATTTTCTGTGAGTTTTATGTTTTTTCCTACCTTGCCTCGAATGGATCTTCTGACTAAAGTTAGCCTCCTGGATCTAAAGAAAGATATTAAAAATTCAGATTTTATTGAAATTTAAACATATTTTAGCTTAATTCGATGAAAGTACTAGTATGAAAGCTTCTGTTTGATTTTGTGTATGTTTTATCGTTTTTCCTAGTTCCTCGACCACTATTGGATCTTCTGTCTAAAATTAGCCTTCCTTTTCAATAACATAAGAAACTGTGACAATTTCAAATACTTTAATCTCCTCAGGGGAACAAGGATTATTTATTTTTATAGGAGAAATCTCACGGGAATGGGTCAAATTTTTCGCATACCGAACTGTGGGATATGCCATCTTGACAATCCAGACAGCTCAGGTGAACAATTTTGGCCACATCCAACCTAAAAAGACTGCCAATAAAGAAGCATATTGAATAATAACAATAAAAATAAAATTGACCTTACAAACGAAAAATATTGTCTTTTTTCACCGGTTTAGCCTTGATCTTGTGAAACGACGATTCTTACTCTGATTTTTGTCGATCATTCTTTATGGAAAATCTTTTCGATTCCTTTTTGGGCCGTCTTATCGATGTTTTTCCGGCTTGACATTGATGTTGATGATTCCCAGTATTTCAATTTGAAGTGGGAGATTTGTTACAGAAAAAAAACCTTATCGCGGTCCAAGAGATAATGTTTTTATCGAGAAGAGCCCTAGCTAATGTAGTCCCTTTTAGTACAGATTCAATAATTCGATTGGGTTTGTTTTTTCCGTTGGGGGGTTGGGCCCAATTCCCATTTGAATTTTTTTTTCCCCAATTGACCCATGGTCAATTAATCTCGAGCCCTTAAAGCGTAACATGTGGGGCGGTTTGCACCGCCATGTCCCAGACGGTTTTTTTTTCTTTTTTGAGGCCCGACCCAAAAGATATCCGTGACACGTCAATTATGCAATTAGCTGTCCGTTGTAGGGGGAGGGGGAGCCCACTTATCTCTCATACACTTGTGAAAATTGACGTGTTTTTCCATGTTTCTACACCGGTGTCCTACGACGACGCCTCCTCGTCACTTTTCAGGTCGTCGACGCGTGTTTACAAACACTCGAACCGGTCCGGGCGAATTAATTAAAAAAAAAACTTTAAATGTCAATCAGAATTATTGAAATTAAACACTTGGATAGGGACGAGGCAATTAATATCAAAACAAAGCCGAATTACCTTGTAAAAGGCAATTAATCCAAGAAGGCCATCATCCCATCATCGCATCATCAACCCCTCCTTGCGCGAAGGGGTCGCAAATCCACCCCTGCCTTGTTTGCCCAAAGGCTTAGCGCTCTTCGTCACCAAATTATGCTCGGAAAGTAGGTTTAAATCGGCCCAATTTAAACCCACCCCTCTCACCGCCGGCCTTAACAAGCAAAATAAACACAAGAATAGTTTTTTCTGTCCGCCTTCCTCAGTGAATATTTAAACACGGTGTTAAGTCAATTTATGAGCATGACGGCAGCGTTGATCTTAACGATTTCCATCAGGAGACAACGCATCCTTTTTTTTAAACGGCTTAACTGTTGTTTTGAATAAACGTTTTTTCTTTCCGACGGAACCAAAAGGAAAATCTGCCTGGAGCTCTTATCCTGATACGTGGATCAAATTAAGCTAAGATATATTCGAATTTCGATCAAATCTGACCATTTTAAAGTACTAGATTAAGTCCAGAAGGGTAATTTTAGACAGAAGATCCAATGGTAGTCGAGACAAGCTAGAAAATACGAGAAAACCTGCGTAAACCTTCAGGAGCACTAATCCCTATGATTTCATCGATTTGAGCTAATATAAAATAGATCTTTGTAAAATTTGACTTTTTTGGAAGTCACAGATTAACTCTTCTGGGCTTACTTTTCTCTAAAAGTCACGATAACAATCTAGGTAGATTAGGACACAAAAAAAACACCGAAATCTTTCAAAATCCTGATAGTTTCATCGAATTTACAATATGTTTGAATTTTCATCAAAACTGACTTTTTTAAGTTCTTAGTTAAGTCCAGAAGGCTTAATTTCCACAGTTGGATATAACAGCCATCTAGAAATGCTAGGGAGAACGAGAAATCCCAGCTATTGGCAGCAGAGCTATTATCCTGATACTTTCATCGAATAAAGCTAAAATATGTTTGAATTTCGACAAAACCTAAAATTTTTTAAAAGTCCTAGTTTAAGTCCAGAAGGTTTACTTGTGAGCGAAGATACAACTGCAATCTAAAAATGCTAGGAAAAATGAGAAATTCCAAGAATTGTCCACAGAACTCTTATCCTGATACTTTCATCGAATAAAGCTAAAATTTGAGTAAATTTCGATCAAATCTGACGTTTTTCAAGTTCTTGGTTGAGTCCAGAAACCGTACTTTTGCATGATGATACAAACGTAATACAGACAATCTGCCAGGGGCTCTAGATCTGATACTTTCGTAAAATTCAATTAAAATATGTTAAAATTTCGTTAAAATCTGACTTTTTTTAAAAAGTCCTTAGTTAATTCTAGAGGGCTTAACGTCGAGAGATGATTCAACACCAATCCAGAATATCTAGGAAAAACTAGAAAAGCAAAGGAAAATCTGCCTGTATCTCTTGTATATATATTTCTATCAAATTCAGCTAAAATACGTTAATTTTTTTTTAATTGCACTTTTTTTAAAGTCCTTTGTTAATACCAGAAGGCTTAACGTCTGCAGATGATGCAACAGCAATCTAGAAAAGCTTACTTTTGCATGATGATAGAACAATAATCCAGAAAAACTAGGAGAAATGAGAAAACCAAAGGAAAATATGCCTGGAGCTCTTACGAGAAAACCAAAGGAAAATCTGCCTGGAGCTCTTATCCTGATACGTTCAGATTACCTTTGGTTTTCTTGTATTTCCTAGGTATTCTCGATACTATTGTATCTTCAGACAAAATTAATCGGAGGATTTAAAAAATCGGATTTTATCATAACTTAAACATAGGTTAGCTTAATTCAAAGAATGTATCTTGATTAGAGTGGTGGTTTTACGCCGGTTTTCTCGATTTTCCTAGGTTTTCATGGTTGCTGTTGGACCATCTGTCGAAATTAAGCCTTCTGGACTTAAGGACTTAAAAAATCTGCTTTTACCGAAATTTAAACATATTTTATCTTAATTCGATTAATCTATCAGGATTAGGAAAATAAGCCTTCTGGACTGAACCAGAGACTATAAAAACGTCACTTTATCGAAATTTTAACATGTTTTAGATGAATTGGATTTGAAGTATCAGGACATTGCTCCTTACAGATTACCTTAATTTTTCTTGTTTTCCTAGCTTTTCTCGGTTGATGTTGGTTCATCAGTTGTGCTTAAACCTTCTGGACTGAACCAAAGTCTATAAAAATGTCAAACTTTGTGGAAATTTTAACATGTTTTAGATGAATTGGATTTGAAGTATCAGGGTAGAGTTCCTTACAGATTACGTTTGTTTTTCTCGGTTTTCCTAGGTTTTCTCGGTTGATGTTGTTTC